CACTCCGATCGCATATTTCAATCAACGTAATGTGTTTCTTTTTCATATATGCTCTTACCCAAGGTTTTGAAAAGCGATATGCAATTGTGATTTTAGCTGCAACATCAATGTTTTTAGAGTGTATGTGACTGAAAATATAGCCACATTATTATGAGAGGCTACAACGGGGTGGTAGTGATATCTTTCAGAAGCAGACTACAAATTTTACCCTGTTAACGTTTTCTTCCATTGCATAGTCTTTGGTGCAAATTTTGTTTCGTCTCTTTTCTTCGCTTCTTTTCCTCGAGGAGAAAACTGCACTACTATTATGATGTTGGATGGAGATATGGAGTTGTAACAACAACAGTTCTTTTTCAGCTCGATCAAGGATAGCTGTTACATTTCTGCAGACGACCATAGTACTATCATAATCAACAAATTATTTGAATAACATATATGCTAAAGAAACACATTACGTTGGGCATACCACTTTTCAAAACCTTGGGCAGGAGCATATATGAAAAAGAAACACATTACGTTGATTGAAATATGTGATCGGAGTGTTAAAGAATGATTAACAAATTATAACGGGATAATAAATTCTCAAATACTTACTGTTGGTCCCAAATTGTCCAGGCTTCCTATAGAAGAGTGAAAAAACAGAATTGAAGGTATGGTTAGGCCTCCAGATAATGACCCTTGTATGCTACTAATAATTCCTCTGCATTTTTCCTGAACTGTGATATATACTTGTCTAAAAACATCTCCTCAGACAAGCACAACACATGAATATAACTGGGGACTTTCTTGCAGAGATTTTTTGATTTCAACAGCTGGAAGACTTTATATTGAGGAAGCACACGATCCTCCATGTTGTACATTAAAATCTGAGGCTGGTGAATAAAGAATGACTTGGGCAACATAACTATGTGCAAGAAGAATTTCATTCCAACTTTCAACTTCATCTCTGATGTTCTGAACAAAGTCGGGGCTCTCTTGAACATTTGTAGGCCCTCATCGTTGGAAAACCCAAAACTATTAATTAGTTTCAGCTTTCTCTCAAATGTTTTATCGCTCAAACAACTTAATGTATGAATTGCATGGACAAGCATTCTTGAATTTTCACGGAAACCCAAGTCTACAGCTCGAGAAACACGGTTTTGAATAGTGGACTGCTTGTGCAATGAAAAGCCTTGGGTGAAGTTTGAGTAGCAATGCAAGATGAGTCCCAAGAATCCACACCTCTCCAAGAAGACGGCATTATCCATAAACCTTTTGTACTTTGGGAGTATCCAGCCACATCTGTGCAACACAAGAATAAAATCTTTCTGGTCGCACACAATTTTCCTAATAGCTTCAACTGAGGGGACCAATGTTTTCTTCAAGCTATGAGTCAAAATGGAGGGATTCTTTGAAATGAAGTTGCATAACTCGGGACCCTGGAATCCAGACATCTGAAAGAACTCAATTTTGGATCTTAAGATTGTGTCAACGTCTGTAAACAGTAACTACAGTCTTTGAAGAATCACGGAGAGAATCTGGCTTTGCGAAAAGCCTATTTGTTTGAAGAAAGTGAGCACTGATAAGGGGGTTTGAGGAAATTTTCCCCGTGAAACACGTTTGGAGATATAAAGGGATTGGGTTTTGGAGAACTGGAAGTTGAAATTTAGGTAATCAATCATTGAAGTGGTTCCGTTGAAGTGTAGGCAACGACATTTAGTTGAGAAAGAGGAAGGATGTCAGACTGAAAAGAGAATTGATTGAAAAGTGAAAATAAAATAGCAGGGTGTTATTTAGAGATTGCATTAGTTTAATGAACGAGAATGAATGAATGTTTTATTTGGCGTCAATGAACAAACAAATTATTTCTTAAGTTGTCTATTTCGAATTTCTAGCAACCAAAACGTTGTCTATCTCCTAAATTGCCATGTTTTCCAAGTTTATGCGACGACGAGAGCCTTGTTTGATTGAGAGGAGACGAAGGAACAAGCAACAAAACCCTAAATTCAGCTCTGAATTCACGAAACTGTCAGTCATGGACGAGTAGGGCATTTCTTTCTCTACCCTCAAAATTTCAACTTACAGCCCTTGAATTTTAAAATTCTAAATTGATCCTGTTATTTAAGATTTTCAGTTTCATTTTTTGATTGTGTAATATGAAGACCTTCTGAACTATATAATTCAAAATGTTAAACATCAATATTTTATTTTTCCAAAATGTATAATCTTACATATTTGTATTGCATGAGATTTTATATTTCATAACACAAAT